ATTGCAAAAGGAACATCTAACAGGAACCCCTTGCAGTATTACATGTACAGTCTGCTGAAATTGAATGGGCAATTTACATAGAATGTGGATTTAAATACGCATTTTCATGCAATATGCTGAGTTGTGATGTAGTTTGCTTTGTATGTGGATAGTGTTCTGTGAAGCCTCAATTATCATTTAGCTGCAAGTTGTGTAAAACCATCAATCCTAGGACAGTTATTAAAAAAAATTATTGTAAAAAAGGGTTATATTTTGTAAGATTCTCCAGTGAGCTAAAGGAGACAAATCAATCAATTAGTTTCCGTTAGCTCACTGGAATCTTACAAAATATAATTTATATACAGGGTATGTTCAAAAAAGATATATGCAGCAATATATGATGCATATTACATTAAAGACAAAGCTTTGACCACATAGTTGTGGCTGCCACCTTGACTTTTCTGACCACCTTGCAGACATTTCCTACTTACATGAGAATCCTCTTCTTTTTTCCCCCCAGGAATTTTGTCCAATGGAACCTATGCCCAGGATAACAAGATTTAAAGACTACTACTGTAGATAACCAGAGGCTGCAGCTGTGATTCGAACTGCCTTTTCTAGATCTGGCATATTCCAGAATGTTCAGATACAGCTTCTTGGATTACTCAACATGGAAATGCCAATGGGATTGTTACTTTTGAATTCTAGGATATGACCCCAATGTATCTAGGAGACACCAGATTAGAAAAAGTTGAGACATGCCAATTCTGATAGGTAACTTGGGCTCTTTAAAATGATGCTCATTGGCCCATTTTAGTAAATAATAAAATAACAACTAGAAGTGAATTTCTGGTAAAGTGCCCCTTGCCTTATAAGCAAAAAAAATCCCCTACAAATACCTCTATGATTTGAAAATTTTCATTTTAATGTTTTGATGTATTTATTATTAGCAATCCCCTAGGATTGAGGCAGTGAATATTCACATATAAAACTCCCTTTTTTTTTTACAACCCTATAATCCCTTAATTCAGGGCAGAGTTGGGGTGACTGGGTGGAGCTGAGCATTTACTGGCTGGATGCCCTTCCTGATGCCTACATGGAGTTCACAGCAGCAATTTTCTCTGCAACCTGAGAAACATCTGCTGCTACCTAGGACTGAATTCTCAGCTTCCAAGTGGGAGGAGAGCATCTTCACCAATTAGGCTACCACATCAACTCAGCAAATATGTCACATATATTATCTCTTCAAACACACAAGCATGTTAAATCTCTTCTCACACACAGGTTAAAGTTTTTGTTCATTTTATTTAAAAATAGAACAGAGAAAATACACGCAAAAATGGTGCACCAAATTTCAGTGCTTATTATTAAAAATACAGATTTGGAGAAAATGAAAATAACTCCTTCTCAACTCAAACACAGCACACAACAGCATGCAACAGATACACTGATCAAAATACAGAGATGGGTTTTAAAGCAGAGGGTCCACTACAGCATAAACGTGTACATAATCATGTAAAATAAATGCATCTGAAAAACCGTTTTCATCACTTTCCATTAGCAATCACCATAGAGGTTCTGGGATTGTAAACCTTTAAAAATCATGGCATTCTGGCAGAGGTGGGGGTTCTTGGCAAGAAGTTTATTTCCTACATATATTATTTTCCCTCTTCCTGTAGCCAGTATCTTGGCAGAGGAGACTATCAATTATAAATGCATGGGGGAAAGAATGAAGAGGGGTCTCTTTTGTTCTAATAAAAAAATACTGTAGCATCTCCACCAAAATCAGAATTCTCCTCTAAAACTTTGGAAGTGCAACATGATTTGATTTCTTCCTACAAAAATACCCATGTTCCAGCAGTAAGCGCAAGCTTTCATTATTATTTCAAAAGAAAGAAAATATACTGTACTTTCCTTTAATAAAATACCAGTCTGATTACATATTGTAAAAGAGGAAGGTTGGATCCTTTTTAAATATATCAATTTCTCTATCTATAAAACAAAAAAATCAATTGCCTATGGACATGTATGGGATAAGGTATTTACTCTACTTCACTCCTGGAGCACATCAGAAATCTATATAGGCACCCAAAACTTCTAGAGCAGAAGTTATTCAAGCAAAAGACGACATTAATCTCATTTCTATTTTCCTACGGTACCAGGACACAAAAACAATGGTTTTAAAAAGTTATGCAAATGCATATTCTTCTTCAATAATAGGAAAGCCTTCCTTATGTCAAGAGCAATCTGGAACCAATTATCAAACACATTGGTGAACTCTATGCTGGATATCCAGATTGCTTTCATTTGGTTTCTTGCAATGGACAGTTGGATTAATTTCATTGGCTACAGTGCCTCTTTCCAATACTATAAATTCTGCCATTGCTTTTGACCACTGGAAATCTATAAGGCCTAGGATCAATGGGGCCCTGAGTTCAAATAAATAAGGGGGGGGGGGCAGTGCATCCTGGAATCAGTCCATGGAACAGCATTTGAAGACACAAGATTTAATGCTCCTCCAGGTGGATTCCTATTTCAAGTTGAAGCGGCTGAATGTTATTTCCTAAGCTACTTTGTATACATTCTTCTCTCCCCAGTTACCATTTCACTTACCTCAACTGCTTTGTTACCCCAATCTGTCTCAATCCAACAATTCTCAACCACTTCCTCCCTTCCTAGACTGAGAAGTTTAGAAGCTGGAGTCCAACCCAAGTGAAAGATTGCTGTCAAAGCAAAGCTGGCTGAGGAATTCTGGGATTTGAAGTCCACAAGTCTTAAAGTGCCCAAGGTTGGAGACCCCTGGCCTAAGTTACAAGTAGTCCTCAACTTACAATCATTTCTCTAGTAACTGTTTAAGTTTACAATTGTATTGGAAAAAATGGCTTATGATCGGTCCTCACAATTACAACCACTGCAGCATTCCAGGCGGTCATGTAATCACCATCCGGGTGCTTGGCAACCGGCTCGTATTTATGAGCATTGCAGCATCCCTGGGTCATGTGATCCTCATTTGCCACCTTCCTAGCTGGGTTCTGACGAGCAAAGTCAATGGGGAAGCCAGCAGGCATGCTCACAAGGGACCATGTGGTGTCTCGCTGAACCCCAGTGATTCCCTTAATAACCATAGCCAAAAAAAGTGGTAAAATGTCCATTTAAGGGGCGCCTCACTTAAATGTCCACACCACTCAACGAAGAATTATCCCGTTCCAATTGTGGTTGTAAGTGGAGGCCTACCTGTACAGTACAGTCCTTGACTTACAACCACAATTCAGCCCAAAATTTATGTTGCAAAATGAGGCGATTCTTAAGTGAATTTTGGTCCATTTTACCACCTTTCTCGCCACCGTTGTTAAGTGAATCGCTGCAGTTGTTAAATTAGTAACACAATTGTTAATTGAATCTGGCTTCCCCATTGATTTTAGTGGTCAGAAGGTCGCAACAGGGAGACCCCATGACCCTGGGACTCTGCAACCATCATAAATATGATTTCAGTTGCCAAGCATCTGAATTTTGATCACATAACCATGGGGATGCTGCAACAGTTGTCAGTGGGGAAAAACGGTCATAAGCCGCTTCTCTCAGGGTTGTTTTAACTTTGAACAGTCACTAAATGAACTGTTAAGTCGAGAACTCCCTGTACTGCCAAGGACAAGACTTGTTAATATGGCAACATCTGTTCCCTTCTGCTTCCCAGTTCCTTCTATTGCTATCCCTTGAAATAGCTAAATCAGGGGTCTCCAAGCTTGGCAACTTTAAGCCTGGCGGGCTT